TTAATTGAGACCAAATACCGAGAGGATATTTGGCGGCCTTCCTGCTACGCGCGGTAGCAACTTCGTATTCCCTGAAGCACAGGGGCCAAATATTCACACGGAATTCACTTGCTTGTAATAAACCGGGATTACGTAGTCGGTAAATGATTGACTACGGGCTTAAAGATCGAGTTCTGATTTTAGGTAAAGATTTTCATACAGGCTCTGGCTCTGATTCCCGTCTAATTCGTATCGCGGGGGAGGTAGAAGCTGACGATCACATGCCATCTAGTGCCGAAGATAAGAAGCTATGTCTTTGCTTTCGTATTCGTGGAACGTTTACAGTACTACTGACGTGAAGTTAGGTTAGGTTATTTATGAATAGAAATACGTGTTCGAGGAAGCTTTCACAATTTATTTCAAGGCAGTTATATCCCAAAATTATAGTGGAAATTTAATTGATAATTTGATTATATAACAACGCTACTTCAATATCAAACTTTATATAATTTCTAGTGTATTATGAGCAAGGTTATGAACGATATATAGTGATGATTTTGGAGTAGATGGACTTGATTTATATAAGTGTAACTTTTCCTGCGTTGTCATTATAGAACTGAAGAAAATTACGATACCGAGTTAGAATAGCTGTTAACAAGACTAAGACTTTAACCACGAACTTAATATTTCAAAAGAATTATCCGCTGCACGGAGTAGATATGTGGATTGATAAGAAATGTATACACAATTTGTGTTGGAAATCTGAATGGAAGGGACCACTCGTGGTTTGTAGGATAATATTAAAATGGATCTTATGATGGAGGATGACGATTGGATTCATGTGTTCAGAATAGGGACCGGTGGTGGCCTTTTGTGATCACTAAAACTCGCCATTATCTGTGGGACTGTTAGATTTGAAGGAAAGATTACTTCGTGGAGGTCGATGGTAATTGGATGTGTCTGAAATGAGGCCTCTTGAGGTCTGGCGGGAAGGAGACAGCCACTTGGATGCCATTCACACTTTGCTGTCGCATACACGCTACTCGAGTGAGCGTGTCGTCGCAAAAGGCAAACAACGTACGGGCAAAACACAATTGTCATGTGAATGGGGCTTCGTGGAACACGCGGTTCTCGGCGAAACTTGAATTCTTAAACATCTCTGGACTGTTCGAGGTCCACGGGACGCACAGTTTAAGAAGTTTGCGTCTACGAACTACACATCTGATATTTATTTACGATTTACTTAACGAAACTTTTCGGTGACTGAGAAGATGGTAGTGAATTGGAAAGGATGTGGTCATAGCCTAAGGCACGGTATTTGCCTTGAGGGACTGAGTAAAACCACGAAACACCTCAGTGAGTACAGCCGGCCTTCGGGCCGAGATATTTGAACCCTGAACCTCCAAAATATGAAGCAGGAATTGCTAACCACCGAATTTATATAATTTATATAATTTATAATATTTTAAGTCTATGAAGAACAAAGTTTGTCCATTGTAAAATATTAAAAATTCAAACAAAACACACGGCTTATTCTTCACAGGGATTAATTGAATGCTGATCATTGAATTAATTGAATCTTAATTAAATCTAAGGACCTAAATACACTGTGGATACAATTTAAATTTACTGACTGTCTAAAGTGGTGGTACATATAGTTACCACTATGATTTGAATGGTTAAAAGTAAATTGTTATTACGTATTTACATCGTGACACGTGATTAAGGAACTTGATATTGTTAAGATATGTTATCTGCTTGTTTAAGCTGTCTGTATTTCTCGTTCATTGGCCGAGTTACATTATAAAGGCCTTGTGATAACAGTGAATTCCATTTGATTGATGATTGAACCTTTACATCGACGAAGAGACAGAATTAGCGTGAGACAAGGAGGGCACTGACGCATTGAAGTTGTGTGCTGTGGGTGTGTCTTTGGTTGGTTCGCCTGGGCGCTACGCAACCATACGTGCATCCAAGCGCAGACTCTGCTTGTGGTCTGCGAGGCGCAGGACAGTTTGAAGAGTCGCGTACCTTGCTTACGGGGAATTCACAAAGTAAATCCGGATACTCAAATTTATCTCCGACAGTTAAAATTTGTGGGCGTGACATGAATCCACCGCGACTTTAAAATGAGCATCAACGTAAAATACAACGTATGAGATAAAAATTTCAACTACCAAAATAACCGGTAATCAAAAATAATTCTTGTTCTTGGCTTTTACGGAGGGAGTTCAATTTAAAACTTCGACAGACAGGTGCACAGGTAGAAAATTCCTACGTAAGTCTTAGAAAAATGCCCAACCAATGTATATTAACCCTGAAGATGACAACTAAAATGTTTGTCGAAACGCTGCATAAGTTTAACGGTAGAGGCGGCTAATCCCCGAAAGTGGAATTTATATATTAAATTAACAGCGTACGAAACTATTATTCTGCTTATATGGTAAACTTTTATTATAACTGACTCTGAAAACGAAGATACAACACGATGTTACCTGGTTTTATCACGACACGATCCATAGTCCATCAAATATAACCTCACTTTCCACTCATTCTGTCAAATTATTCTATTAAAATTAAATTATTTGATTATTCCGTCAAATCACAATGTATTTAAAATAAGATAATTAAAATAATTAAAATTAATATTTTAATTATTTTAATTATCTTATTTTAAATACATTGTGATTTGACGGAATAATCAAATAATTTAATTTTAATAGAATAATTTGACAGAATGAGTGGAAAGTGAGGTTATATTTGATGGACTATGGATCGTGTCGTGATAAAACCAGGTAACATCGTGTTGTATCTTCGTTTTCAGAGTCAGTTATAATAAAAGTTTACCATATAAGCAGAATAATAGTTTCGTACGCTGTTAATTTAATATATAAATTCCACTTTCGGGGATTAGCCGCCTCTACCGTTAAACTTATGCAGCGTTTCGACAAACATTTTAGTTGTCATCTTCAGGGTTAATATACATTGGTTGGGCATTTTTCTAAGACTTACGTAGGAATTTTCTACCTGTGCACCTGTCTGTCGAAGTTTTAAATTGAACTCCCTCCGTAAAAGCCAAGAACAAGAATTATTTTTGATTACCGGTTATTTTGGTAGTTGAAATTTTTATCTCATACGTTGTATTTTACGTTGATGCTCATTTTAAAGTCGCGGTGGATTCATGTCACGCCCACAAATTTTAACTGTCGGAGATAAATTTGAGTATCCGGATTTACTTTGTGAATTCCCCGTAAGCAAGGTACGCGACTCTTCAAACTGTCCTGCGCCTCGCAGACCACAAGCAGAGTCTGCGCTTGGATGCACGTATGGTTGCGTAGCGCCCAGGCGAACCAACCAAAGACACACCCACAGCACACAACTTCAATGCGTCAGTGCCCTCCTTGTCTCACGCTAATTCTGTCTCTTCGTCGATGTAAAGGTTCAATCATCAATCAAATGGAATTCACTGTTATCACAAGGCCTTTATAATGTAACTCGGCCAATGAACGAGAAATACAGACAGCTTAAACAAGCAGATAACATATCTTAACAATATCAAGTTCCTTAATCACGTGTCACGATGTAAATACGTAATAACAATTTACTTTTAACCATTCAAATCATAGTGGTAACTATATGTACCACCACTTTAGACAGTCAGTAAATTTAAATTGTATCCACAGTGTATTTAGGTCCTTAGATTTAATTAAGATTCAATTAATTCAATGATCAGCATTCAATTAATCCCTGTGAAGAATAAGCCGTGTGTTTTGTTTGAATTTTTAATATTTTACAATGGACAAACTTTGTTCTTCATAGACTTAAAATATTATAAATTATATAAATTATATAAATTCGGTGGTTAGCAATTCCTGCTTCATATTTTGGAGGTTCAGGGTTCAAATATCTCGGCCCGAAGGCCGGCTGTACTCACTGAGGTGTTTCGTGGTTTTACTCAGTCCCTCAAGGCAAATACTCCTTACTAGTTCTGGGTCATGTGACCAACAGAAATCGAGTTGCAGATAGAAATATTTTAAGACAAGTTCGCAACTTAAGTTGGAAAAATATTCCTGTCCTATCATAATGTAACAAATCGAGAACTGCTGAACGGATTTTTATAAAACTTGGCACTGGGGTGTTTTATTAAAATTTGTCTGCACGTGTCATATCTTATAACAACTCAGAAGACAGAAATCTTCATACTCGCCGCTGTGAAAACCTCAAATCATACAAAATAAATTCTGCTCGAGAGATGAACTACACATGAATTTCCATCCGAAGAAGCGGATAGAACCGGATGCAGTCTCACCCTCAAAATACAACGTAAATAATTTTTATATTCAGGTAAGGACATACGAAACATCGCTCGTTTGGCCGTAATAAAATGTAGTTATTATAACTGTACCAACATTATCATCTATCTCCATAATGAAATGGATCGAATTGTAATGACATTTTGAAGTAATTATGCCTTAAGAATTCATGGAATGCATTCGGAGAAAATGAGAGAATTTACAGAAATAATATCGAATGCCACAGTGCGACCTCATAGCTGGAATACCTTGTTACAGCGATAACCACTTCGCTGTATTGTTTGTTGTTCTTCGAGAACAGATATCGATTAACACAATTACAGTTTGCATAGAAACTTGTGTGGAGTAATTCTCAGAATCGACACGTCACTAAACATTCCACTGTGGGCGAGAATTCCTCTGAATTTGTAGCGACATTGAGTGAATATTTTAAGACACAAATGCAGACGTCGTATTCTGAGACGGCAAAACAAAGGAAGACATGAGTGTGAAATGACCGCTGAATTTTACTTACGAAACATCTACTTTTCATATAATTGAAGTTAAAATAAAGTAATTTTCGAAATGTTTTGATATATGTTAGAAATATATTCTGTTACTATCAAGTACAGTTTTTATAAAATAGATGTGTTTGAAAATAAAGTTGTCAGAATAGAAAAATTGACCAAAGAAAGATTAATTAAACAATTTTAGATTTTTCATTTGAAATTAATCTCGTGATTTTTACTTATCACACGGTATTGTTACAATAGAAAATTTAAAGAAGATTTGATTGGCTGGGCATGCGCCTAGTATGGGGAAGATAAATACTTATAGGTCTTAGTGGGTAGTCAGAGACATATCTTAAGGAGACGATGGTAAGTGTATAAAGTTTAGAACCGCACGAATTTCGGATTTTTGGTAAATTATTACCGGAGAGTATAATAGCCTTTTGGTACCTTCACCAAATTGCATAATTCAAGGCTAAGGAAAGACTTACCCACTTAATGAACTGATCTAGGCCACCAGTACAGCGTTTGCTACGGTGTGAATTCTGAGCGGTCTTCATTTGGCTGGGCTCAGCTGCCAGTGTTGTAAGGTTGTACGCTTTTGTTGTGACCTTGAAGAGTATAATTTTATGATTGCTACGTCAGTACACTGTGGAATAGTTTTTCCTCTTACTGTATTCGATGCGTTGTCAAACTTTTTATCCACTCCACAGACGATGTTTATGAATTATAGAAAAAAAATATTTTTATTGAACCGTCCACAAAAAACATCTCAAGAATCATCCAGTCTACAATAACTCAGCTGATTGAAGAAACAATTTTGGGATTTTGTTCTTTATTTGCGTGACAAAACCTTAAAATGTCGTCAACATTTTAAAAACGCATAGCATAGCTGGATGATTTCATGTAGATTGTAAATAACACCGCAATGTTTATTATATGAAAAGTTTTCAAATATATATTTATTATTCAAGTCTATATACACAAACTTTTAAATTATTGATGTTAAAATTTAAAATTTATATTCTGCGCTATTCATCGTTATCTCGATGTTACAATGTTGCGCTTTAATACTACTACATGTTTCAATGTCATAGCATCATCTTCAGGTTTATCTTTAAATTTTAAATTTTAACATCAATAATTTAAAAGTTTGTGTATATAGACTTGAATAATAAATATATATTTGAAATTTTAAACACAAACATGACGCATCAAAACTATAAAATGAAAAATTTTATTCGGAAACTCGTCTTAATAAATGTATACCTTATGTGTAAATGGATAATGTTTATTTGACTTTATTAATAACATGTAACACTTCATCTAGATAAATTTTGTACGTTGACATGAAGTTGGTTATTTACATTCTCCAAAATATTTCGCCCCAAGAAAATAATGTATTGTGTTCGTGTGGAATGTTTAAAAAAACATCGTAGTTTACTACACATCAGAATGTTTCAACTTAAAAGAGACTTATAGTTGACTGGGTGATGTTTTTGAGCCGGATAGTAGCATCGCAGTGTCTGGTTCTTGTCCATCAGTCTTGTCTTGCGGGCAGTATGACAAGGATCAAAGGCGAATGTCTCCAGCGTGACGCTGAATAATTGTACTAGAGTGTTCTGTATTTATAACACGCATTACTGAACGTTTCGCTTGCATTTGACTGTTGATTTTGAGAACACACGAACTTGGCACTAACCGTGAGTGAAAATTGCATAATAAAAACAGATTTTTCACCTCGAGATTTGTTGTAAGGTACCAGTTAAGAAAAAATTTCACATCTGTGAAAATAAATATAATTAAAAATATGTTTTTTTATAAAGATCTCAAATAGGATAAAATAAAATAAAATATATTGGTTTGCAATCTGTAAGATGAAAACGTCCAATTGGACCTCATGATTGGAGTGGAATATTCGACCCATTGGGCTGTTGGTTAGTTAAATTCACAGAAACAGTGGATAACAAACAAACTAAAGTTTTAGTACATATATTTTATTAGTTAACAATCTTATATTATACATTGTAATAGATTTTTTCATAATACATAACAAAAACATAAAAAAGTTTTATTTATAATATATTAATTATTTTAAAACAAAGGAAAATTTAAAGCGAAACTACGTTTGACAAAGCAACTGGAGGACGTGATTGAGACGTGGGGCCTTCATATGGCAAATGGATAAATATTTACCGACCTTAGCTGTGGGATTTGTTTACCGGCGAGTCATGTTATGCACTGGTAACATATTTAACTCTTTAAAAACAGTTGAGACAACTTAGAATATCAAAGTGCAGTCTGTGTTGATGTGGGCTTAACGTCTTAAATACGAAAAACATGCCACACCACGTGTTGCTATACGTATTTTGATCGTCTCTTGTCTTTTACGCAGTGCATTGTCTGTACCGCCTTCTTTATGGCGTCTTCTTAGTATTCTGTCTTCGAATACGTATCTTGAATTTTCTTACAATTCCGGTAACTTCGCCCTCTCTCGTGTTCCCTGTCATTTTGGTTCCAGCTGTAGTGGTCTGTAATCAGTGGGGTTAATATGCTGAACCCATTTCTAAGACGTAAACCCCTGGGGTCAGACTTATACAGTCGCTTCTCTGCACCATGATGGACGTAAATTACTCATTTTAGGGCCCACCAGCCCTTTAACCAACTTCTATCAAACGCCCTTTCTTCAGTTCTACATCGTCTACAGCAGTGGTATTCAACCCTTTTTGTTCGCGTACCCCCAGATATAATTTCTCTTCAAATTT